AACTAACGCAAGAAAACTTGAATAGTTCGAACAAATTATTTTGGCATTACCAATAAACGTGCAAAAGTGTTAAAACAATGCCATTTAGGAACAGAAAGCAGGGGAGGTGATTTGGGAGTGTCGGTAGGACATCACTTGCAAACAAAAATATTCTCCACAACAATACAACTCAATAATCCTAATTTCAAGAGAACGAAACGAGGTCTAAAATARGAGAACAATACACCCAAAGTCTTCTTCCACCCTCTTCTACATCCCCTTCTACTGTCGCAGATCTACAACTAACAATTAAAAGTAAAACAAGAAATCACGAATGATAAGCTAAACCATTCCTTGTTTGCAAATCCCCAGACGATCTTGTAAGGTCTTCGTTGTTAGTTTTAAGTCTCTGTCTATTAAGTCTATCTGGCGTCTGGTTTTAAAGAGACCGCTAGCCGGCAGCTTGTCTGCCCTGGGTTTCGTTAAGTACGCAGATACTGGGCGTGGTTTGGCACTGCTCAGAGGCCTTGATACTTTGCCTTCAACAGAATGGTTAAAAAATTTTTTTAACTTTGTATGTATATTCCTTGAGACCCTGTAATCTTTCCAAGGTCAACACAAAATTATCAATTTYATAGAAAAATATAAACGGGAAAAAACGAAGTTGCCTCGTAGCAGGAAGCGTGTTTATTAAAATAAACCAAAATTGGGATCGCGTGTCCAATCAACTATGAAAGACTTACCAGTTGTAGCTGTCTTTGGTCTTGGCCTGTTTGTTGTAACCTCGTCTGCAGTGCGCGAACGATAGTGCTAAAAAAGATTCGTTAAATGTCTTAGGTTCCCGTTGAACTGGAGTGAAGAAAATTTTGCAAAATAAAAGCAAAAAATAAATAAATAAATAACAGCGCGAACTTGCTATTAAACCAAACTAAAACTAAAACTAAAACCAAAAAATAAATGACCAAAAATGTTTTTTTCAATTATGAAACGTGACTATCTGGCAAAGTTCTCCCAATGACTCTATTAGTTATTGTTATTAGTCTATTCGTTTATTATTTATTGCTGATTTTCAATCATTCCCAAGGGAGTCAAATTAACAAAAGACACGTCGGTCACGTCGGTCGATACAACAAAAGAATTCATTGACAAATCTTTCGCTAAACTTAACCAAGATGGCGGCCAACCAAGATTTRAAGTCTYRRTGTTTCGCATATTGTTCCAACTACCAGCAAATTCAAWAGYTGTYATTACAGTTGAGCCCGCAATGAGATAATCTTGTTTTAAGAATCATACAAGTGARGCTATCGGGTCGATACAATGCTTGTTGTCTCGTTTGCATATCATTTGCATGCATCCATAAAAACTACTATTGCTTTTTTAKATGTGCTTCTCATTGCAAAGCGTAAAATTATATAAAAAGACGCCCTGAGAGCTTTAAGGCCGGCACACACAAGGGAGCTTGCYYCCGCRACACGCTCCCGCAACATGCTCCTGGGTAATCCTGGGTCATTTTGCTAGACCAGCACACACGARGGAGCTAAACAATGAAACAACCCGATTGGAGCATGGGAACTAGTTATAAATCCAAAAAATAATGTGATTGGCCAACTGGAGACAGGTTGTTGCGCGGCAATAAAAGTTTCAGTACACACGAGGGAGCTTGCAACAGATTTGCTCCTCAAGCCTTCTCCATCATATTTAACCATTTTGATATGAAGGAGCAAAACCCGGGAGCAAAAGTTTTGTTGCGCAACATGTTTTTCCGCGTTAAATCGTTGGTACAGACGAGGGAGCTTTGCKCTGGGAGCGTGTTGCGGGAGCGTGTTGCGGGAGCAAGCTCCCTCGTGTGTGCCGGCCTTTACAGTCTATAAATGTTCCAATAGCTGCCCCCTCGGCATCCCATAATGTCTAATAGAATAAACTAATAAACAATAGAATTCAAGATGGCCGCCTTATCAGTAAAAAGATCTATTATCTATTATGGTTTGCATTTGTCTGTCAAGAATGAAGCTTTCCTATTTCTTACCAGCTTATTTTGTACTTTTTCTCTTACTGCCACATCACCACCWTGTCTCACTTCCTCTTCCAAATCATGTAGCACGTCAGTTGATTCCTGTAAAGAACGWTAGATGAGTCAGCATGCATGGGAGTAACCTAATTTCAGATTCACTTTGCACTAAACGGAAGTTATTTCTTTTGCACRTAAATTATGATAAAATAAATGTTCTTGCCCTGTACAAATGAATTTTTTCTTCTATTTGTTGCACTTTGTTCTGCGAGTGCGAGAGGAAAGTGTAGTGTGTATTCGTCATGTCAACAACACCGGCAACATTTTCTTGATCAAATGTTCGAACTACAGTATTGCAGCATTTTGAAAATTGCACGCTGTACAAATGGACGTTGATAGACGCTGTATTCTTCAATGCAGAATTTCCAGTCTAAACTTGCCTCAATATTGAAGTTCTAGTTCTTTGGCACCAAAAAATGCCACGCGCTCGCCAGCTCTCCCCTCCACCCACTCCCCCTTTCTTTTATGTCTTTCCGTCCATATTCCTCATTTGAGATCTTGGATTTAAATGCAAATAGCCAATATTTTTTTCTTTATTTCGGATTCCCCTAGAACACCTTACCCCTCCCCCCGCCCCGCCCTTCTGTACCTTCATCTGAAGATCCAGATTTTTTTTCTGTACATGTACACCACTRGATGGTCTTGAATGACTGACAGGCTTCACAAACATCAAGTCATCAGGGTTCAATTCTACCTCTGGTTTGACARTATCCCGGGAAGGTCTTCGGTAGAGGTGACTATGGGGTGGATGTTGTCTATGGTACTGTTTCTGGAGCTCGACTCTTTGCTTTTCCAACTGTTCTATTCTCTCCATTTTTTCTTTCCTTTCTTCTTCCTCTCTTTCCTGMMAAAAAAAAAWAWMASGAGTGTCACCTTGAATGGTCCACAACTAGTTATCTAGCAATTGAGAAAAAGTTAGCAAAAAGTAAATGAGAACTGATCTAAGCTTGGTTTCAGCCTTGAGGTTGTTGTTTGTGCCATCACACCCAAACCACCTTGGCTGGAATTAAGCCTATAGAGAATCGTGCCATGAAAATGAATCGTCTTTCCGCCATTTTTCCCTTCTATTTCTCAAACTCACTATTATTTTCATAAGAAAAACAAAATAACAAAAAGAAAATCTCTACTGAATAACCATGGTTTAAGGATATATAATCTTAGCAAAAACTTCAATTTACTTTGGCTCTTTTTTTTTTTTTTGATCTCGTATTCACAAGGAGTGGGCGATATTAAGAAGTTTCCATCTCTTATTTATGCTCTCTCTTATTTATGCTCTCTTGTGTAAGTGATGTTTCATGGAGCTATCCTGAAAGATTGTTCTGACATATAGTCAGTGATGACTTTGTTTATATCATGTACGGAAGGTGACTCATAAAAGTTAGAATTCCACACTCAAAACCCGTGACCCTCCAAAGATGTTTTGTACTATGAACTGACAGCAGCCATGTTGGATGACAGTTACAGCAAAGCACACTTATCTTACATGAGAAAGAACTCAATTCCTCTGAGTAAAAGGATGCTACAATATAGACCAAATCCACTTGAGCATAATGTTTTCCCATTTCAGACCATGAGTCATTCCCTAGAGTATCATTTCTTTGTTTTATGGTTGCACATGAGGATGCTATAGACCAAATCCACTTGAGCATAATATTTTCCGATTTCACACCATGTGTCATTCCCTAGAGTATCATTTCTTTGTTTAATGGTTGCACATGAGAAGACACATGAATATGGAAACAACTCAAACAAAGAAATGTATTCTCAAGASAATGACGCCTGGTCGCAAATAGGAAAACATTACACCAAAGTGGATTTGKTCCATTGCCTCTATAGACACACCTAAATCACATGGTCATATGATGAAGAATAGGGCATGCTAATAACAAACCTGTAAGAGCTGGTAAGTATTGGTCCGTAACAATGCCATATTGTTTTGGTGACGCATGACATCACTATAATCAGCCAGTTCATCATCAAGGTACCCCTCACGGTCCTGTAGATACATGAGCTGTGCCGCCCGTAGTTCTAGTTCCTCTTCATGGTACATCCTGTTTARCATGCCGATACACAGTCTTGCCCAATTGTTTACAGCACCGGACTGTTGTATAGAAAAATTCAAATTTTCTAGAGTCACTGAAACAACCTCTGAGTTGATCTAAGTCAGGGCATGGGTAACTCACACATTAAACCCTGAAACAACATCTAGGCTGATGTAAGTCAGGGCATGCCTAACTCACAGATGGATTAGACCCCTTGCCAAAATGGCGGCCACAAATTAAAATGCGTTAACTTAAAAAACCAATACCAGCAATGAAACTGAGAACCTTTACTTTAGTAACTACRAAGATTCATTATGTCAGGTGTAATAATGGCCAAGAAAACTTAAGTTGAAAATTGACAAATTTACAGACATTTATTTGTCTGGGGGTAGAACATATGACCTCAAAACCTCAAATCAAGAGGRAAAAACTAACAAACTCTAATCCAGGTCACATGTAATGCCAAGTCCAGGGATCAAACAYARGTCTGCMGGAGTGARTGGCAAGTGCACTACCRCTACACCAGCCTTGATTTACTTTGCTTAATGACACCTTTATATCAAATCATATTGATCTAATAATCAAATTAAAAACCTCAATTCTTTGTAGTACCTTTGGAGAAACTGAAAATTTTTTTTCTTCCAGATTCTTTTCAAACTTTGGAGCAGCAACACCTTGAAGACATATCATAGGATCGACATCAGCAATGTTATCATTAAAGCTGAATTCCTATTCTTCTCGGCACAATCTATAGATCTAATCAATACTTTCTTCATACTATCATCATCATATCCATGTTAGCCTTTACTGCCAACATGGCTAGCATGTCTTTTTCTCTTGATAATCAGGGACTTACAATTAATAGTGCTTAGTGTGCCCATGTGTAAGGAAGTCTCTCTAAAGCTAGGTAGATTTAAGATTCAATTATTAGCATGTTGATGAATATTGCTACAATGCCCCTAGTTTGTAAGTTTTGTTATCGCAAGATAACCTGTTCTCTTATGATAAGGAATCCCATTTCTATGAAGCAATGGAGGGAGATTAGCCTGCAAAACAGCTCTCTGGGTTAGAGTTGAGTGAAGGGGAATGGGAAAAAAAGAAAAGGGATTGCAATCCCCTCCCCTTCCGCCTTCCCCATTTCCCTCCACCCAGAGAACTGCTGCTACATATCTACAGTATCATACCCAGGTTATAAAAGATATGACTTTTATTACCTTTTATGCTAATCATAAATATAATCATCATCATTGTTACCATCACCCTCATCCTCACCCTCATCATCATCATCATCATAATCATCATGTTAATACTCACCAACTATGTTTGCCACATGAATAGCAGCAATGGTGTCTCCAGACCACGCTCTACAAAAATAACTTCTAGTTATGACTCAAATTGGAATTTAGCATGTCAAATTAAGGGAGTCACACCCATTGGAATCTTAATGCTCACACGACGCAAAATCCAGAAATCAAACCCGACACCCTTGAGCTGATTGAACGACCACTACACCACCCAGCTTGATTCCCTTCATTGGTTTTTACAATGGGAGAGGCTGTTGATGTCTAACCCTGCTACCATGGGATGCCTGATCAGACTAATTGACAGCTTTATTCACCTTCGCACCAGGTATATAAGGCATTGCAGTTGATCCTTGACCTTTTGAGTCTCACTATTACACATCAAAATCTCTTGTCTCAGCTTGTGAACAAGGTCTCGAAGCGACTTGMATTCTATGGTAAGACTACGTTGACTGTCTTTGTTGGTAAAGCCCCTTTGTATCATAGCTAGTTTGTCCTCCTGTCTCATTCAATTATAGCTTATAAACTCTTCTCTATCGTCATCTGAAAAAAAGTATTTTATTGATCAAYGGAAACATTGATAAAGCTGTAATAACTGAGAATATTTTCACCACAAACATTTACAATATAACGTAAAGTTGAATATTCAAAAACAAAAAGAGCTTTATAAAGTCCGCAGAAACAATCACGTTTTTGAGTCCTATTCACAAAAATATCAAAGTCACATTGTCAAACATAGCGTAACGTACCTTAGGATGAGTTTTCTTTTAAGATTAAGTTGGTATTTTGGTGTTTAAAATATAAATAAAGACAAAAGAAATGCTTGTACGAGATTGCTTGCTTTTGCTTGTCAACCATTGTCATCACAACCGCTGGTCCTATGAGTCTGTAAACATGGATCAAACATCCAAGAAGCTAAACGCTGATTGGGCCTAAACACCAGTCTTGAGAAAAAAGAGATTTCAATGAAAGTGCAATTTTTATATTTATTTTTACAGCTGTAAAATAACAGGTTCATTTTCGCATACATTTAAGTCTCATTTTTTCAGACAATATTTATTTTAAATTTCTCTATGTACCGTCCTCCAAGAAAATATTTTTAGCTTTCCAAATATCAACCAATAAAATGTGCGCTTCTAAAAACGTTGCTCTGTAAGGGATAAACACTAATGGCGGTCGCCAATGGTGAAGCGTCCCGGGAACAAAATATCAAAAACAATCATTTTTATTACTTCTGATTGTAAAAAAAAGAATCAGTTTTAGTAAGATGATTTTTTGATTTCATTAATAAGTCTAAAAATGGCCTCTTTCGATGAAAAAATTGAACGGTTGTTGGAAGATTTTGAAGGATTTACTCATGAGCAACAGAACAAGCTACTAAAAAGCCTGCTTTTGAAATGCCAGGTTTGTAACTTGTTATACATTATTAAGATATGGTTAAAGACTTCATATCTCTCCTGTGTTAAAGATTTTTTTGTCTATGSCTGCTTTGTTTTTGACAGAGTTTATCTTTCCTAGATCTCGTTKTTGACCCCTTATGTAACCATGAAGAAATACTTTTTTGGCACTAAAAAAATAGAAATAGAATGATAGAAAGAAAACCAAGGCCTTCGTTAGCTTATTCATTTTCAATTTCTCAATGTTAATRCGATATTCATTAATTTTGTTCTTACAATCCTCAATTTTTGTTCCAAAACTTTCCACAGGTAGCCCAATCTAAATATATTGTTTATAAAATGGTTCACCAGGCATATATTTTGTAGAAATCCTTGTTTAAATACACTACCACACTATAGAATAATGGATTTTGGCAGTCAAATCTTAGCTAAAAACTTTGTAATTAAAAATGAAAAAGCATTTGTTTACTGTACTCCATCCCCCCCCCCCAAACACACATCAAGTGACTATATAACCCTCATCTTATCAGCTTAATCATCTGGGCCCAGTTGTACGAAGGGTAGATAGCACTATCCAATGGATAAATCTTTATCCAGTGGACAAGTCAATGCTGTTATCCAATAAATTTATCCACTGGATAAGATTTATTTGTCAGATAATGCTATATCCACTGTTTGTACCATTGGGCCCTTTTAGCTAAATACATATTTTATGTGGATTTATTGGCAGCCTTTACAGCTCAGATTTTTATACTCTGAACTAAAACCCCTACTRTCAGTGGACTTTGTAAAGAATTTACCCAAAGAAGTGACAGAAAGAATATTCTCCTACATGTCAGCAGTTACTCTATGCAAGGTTGCATTGTGCAACAGACTTTGGAGAGAAAGAGCCAATCATAATCCTACTTGGTAAGCTTGTTTTTCAATAGACCCCTTGCATGTGATGTCAAGGCAGCTCAATTTGGAGGACAAAACAAAATCTCAATCCAATCTCCTGATAATTGAAAACCTATTGTTACGTATGTCTTCCAAATCGAATTGCATTCTGACATGCTGCAAAGGATCTATTGTTTTGGTCTAGCAAAATTTTG